AAATCAACCACCCCATCATCTGATAAGGTTAAGAGTCGGAGGAGCCCAATACCCGAATAGCCATCAGGGTAGCTGTTCTGGTATTTGACTCCTAATAAAAAGAAGCACCTTGCAGGTCGGCAAGGACCTTGCCGGTGCTTTTTTTATTCCTCCCTAGCGGGGGATAGGCTGAAACATCCTCATTGGTACCCCACAACCGGCTGTAGGGTTATGTCAGACTCTGACTGACTAAAAAACACCCGTAGCGTATGAAGACCTCTGGCTACCTCTGGCTGGGAAGACCTCTAAGGTTCATCGGAAGCGATCGTCACCAAGGGGGGGGGCTGCAACACTTCGCAGCGTGATGAGGCACTGCTCTTCTAGCTTCTTTTAAAAGATCCCGGATAGGAGGGAGGAAACATGTGTGCGGCCACAGCATTCAATTCGCGGATAGTGCCTCAAAAGAATCTTATAAGAATGAAGGAGTGAAGAAGAGAAAAGAGACAAAATATATTAATGGTAAAGATTAAGTGTAAAGTCTTAAACGCACGTGAGCCCCGCAATTCCGGCCGCTTTCCAATGAAAGCGACAACGGCCTTGCTTCACGGACCACAGCCTTTTGGGAATTCGTTAGCCCACTTATTGTTACATTAACATTAATAATACTAGTTTTCGTTTAGCAACTTCTAGTTTGTATAGAAACTGGCCCAACGGCCTAAAAAAAATAGCCACGACCTGCCACGTGATTCACAAATAAACCACTCTTAATTAAACTTATTGCTTGCAAAACGGAGTGTGAATTTATCAACAATTTATTTTACAATTAACTAGTTGTGACTCACGGTTTATTAGGGATATTTTCCCGCAGTAAAACGTAGCCTATGTGTTAATGCAGAGTTTCAGCTAACTCCATACCAATTTTTATTAAAATCGCTCCAGCTGTTTAGACGTGAATAAGTAACAAACATACACATTCACAAACTTTCGACTTTATAATATTAGTGTAATAGAAAAGCTCAGCTCTTTCTGATATTATTGAGTATTATTTTCATTCAACGATTTATATAGAATACGGACTAGTATTTTAATGTTTCCTTTCTTACTAAATAAAATACAGAGACAGAATAATCTCAAAAGTAATAAAAAACAAATTTCAAAAAATCGCACAAATTGTTTATCCGTTCTGAGTAGGTACAATAGGGTATTTGACAGTATTAAAAATAAAGTGCCAATTGTTAGCATTTGTGTTTAGAATGAATATTGGCAGGGTTTTTACTATATTTACAAAAAAAAATATTCATGATTTTACTAAAAACCCATGAAAAAGATAATACTTTTCTTATCTATTGTCACGTGATTCAAAACGCTAGGGATTGGCGGAGCCAAAAATGACGTCACACGCAAGTAAACTTCCGGTTAAAGTGACATTACATTGTATTGTTTGTCGTTTTAATAACAGTCGTGTTTCGTCACACACTAGTAAGACGCCATATTGTCCAGAGAAACGTTTTCGCTTGAAAATGAAGTTTTTAATTTGGTTATTTTTACTGAAATACAGAACAGAATGATGAATATCCACTTTTTACGGACTCCATAAACATAAGTCAATAACGTGAGTTCGTGTTCTAAAACTTGTCAAATACCATATTAATGTGTGCCATAACGTTGCTATTCCGTAGGTATATTGGTGATCGATAAAAGGTTATGTTATTATGTTTACTTATGTTTGTAGTCTTTCTTGTTCCTACTTCTTTTTCATGAATCAACAATTTTTACTTTTTGATACTAATAAATGCAAGTGGCGCAGGACCAATCGGTGTGGAGATCCTCGGGGGAGGCCTACGCTCAGCAGTGGACGTCCTACAAATAAGATGATGATGTTTGTTAAATGTAAACAACAATGTGCCGCAATACATTGCATCGTAAGAATTCGTATCAAGCTACTTGGTACCACTAAAACAAATTGAACGCCTCGTAGAAAGCTTAACTGCTGATGTTAATTCCACAATCCTTGCGTTCGTAAAACATGTCAAACTTTTCTGCGCGAAAGTTTAGGGGAGTGAGTTCCTTCGTACTTAGTTTCCCAAAGCTGTATACTTTACATACATATAATAATCCGGCGCGTAAACTTGATCCAAATAGAGATTGCATACAAACATTCTTAAGTCTGGGGAAACAAAACTAAGAGAGTTCAAGACGTCGTATCGTCGAGAATAATCAGCTCGCTTTAAGTAAAGCCGAGACATCCATACACAGGCTCTTAGCTAGATGCAACTTGATTAAAACTAGGAACGAAGCAAGCTGCCTCTCGTTTTGATGCCAGGATGCCTGTTATGACTCTCACCAGCTGTATAAGAGAACTCATTTGCGCTGTTTACGTTTCAAACAACATAAGACAGGATTTAATAAGAAATTATTAACTTGGCGAATACGGAGTGGAGAGGAATAGTTTGGGAACCTTCATAGTTTCACTCTGTAACTTATTAGGTAAATAATAATATAAAAGTGCGGGTAGTTGTTTTAGTCGACCTCTTACGAGTACTTTGAACTCTTTTTCTAATAACCTTAGTGTTTTTGTTCCATTTACAAACAAGTAGATATAATTAAAGATAAATATTTGAAATTCACAATTGAAGAAAATAGCACAATAATAGTTTGTCGTGCTATAATATCATCTAGAATTCTAGACAATTATTTTATTTAAAAAATTACTTTTCTGAGGAATTTTCAAAACAAATCTGTCTTAGTAAAAATAAATAAGCAAAGTGGTTCAGTAGGGATATATTAACGCGCTTTTGTTAGTTTCACCTGTATGTTTGTTTCTTTGTTTGTATGAATGTAACTGACACATATCAAAATCTAAAAATCTTAATTACACCCAAGTGCGTGCAATTATATGTAGATTAGATGACAATAAAACATTATGGTACCACCGAGCTGGTCTGATGATGGGACTGGAAGGTGGCTGATGGAACCTTGGACTGCCTACTCGTAAACATATCGAGTTTGGGCTCATTAGATTCGTCTTAACATATTCTATTCATTTTTCCTGAAGACTGAAACTAAATAGAGTAAAATAAAATAATAGTTTAAAAAACTTGGCTTTTTAGTGCAGTAAATAAAAGCGTGTTTTTAGTTTTTTTTAAACAATTAATTTATTTTTAGTCTTTTTTTGCAATTAATATAAACTTTTAAAGAAGAAGATGAACTTTTTAATAATGATCGAGTGGTAACAAGTCTTGACAGTAAGAAGACATCAACAATTGTCGACAATTCTAATCCCAATGGGTATGAATTTTATATGATGATATGAGGCTTTACTTTAAATATATTAATAAACGGCTACGTGACGTTTTGAATGTGTTTTATGTATTCTACAAAAAGTATCGCTTTCAATTTTGACTCTAGGGATTACAAAAATTATCTATCAATATCTGTAAATATTAAAACATTTATATTTCGCTTACCCCAAGGAAAAGAGAGAAAGTTGGTTACTTCTATTAACCTATTGGTGTATAGTATCCGAAAAACCAGTTCTCTAAACTTCCTAGTATAGAGAACTGGTTTTTATAATATTCGCTTAAAAATTTAATATTTTTTTCTTTGCACCAGGGGGCCAATCGCCTAACTGGATTGCTTTGGAAAACGCTATCGCTTACGATTTCATTTTGTTATTTCTAACCGCCGAAATACCTCACGCTCATTTTCTTTAACATTGTTATTACCAATGCAAAAGAAAAAAAAAGAGCGTGACGCATTTGTAAACCTCAGGGGGCTAGAAATAACAAAATGAAATCGTAAGCGATAGCGTTTTCCAAAGCAATCCAGTTAGGCGATTGGCCCCCAGGTGTAGCGTTGATAGCACTATTTTAGACGAAAGCGCCCAGCTAAGATTTTTCTTAATACCCTATACAGTGAGTACCTATTATTACATAATTATGACAAGATTTCAATAAATTTTCTATCGAGACAATGGGAGTTCTTCTTATTATCATAGTTTCATAATGTTTACGGTATCAAATATTTTAGTTAAGGTAAACTATCGATAATTTCTTGAAAGCGTTCGGAATTGATTGTAATCGCCATTATTATTAAGCCTCTGACATCACTTACCTAATATTTTAAACTGGACATTATTATAAAAACAATTGTATAATCACCTGCATAAATAGGCTTTTCATTTAATTTTTTATAATTCATATCCATTTGTATTCACTTAGGTCCCAAAAAGTATCTATATCATCCGGAACCATGAAACCTAACTTAGTAACACAAATTTAATACTACCAAAAGAAACTGTTATGTTACAATGGTTTTCTGTAAGGCGGCGGTTTTCTGGTTTTATAATATATCTATAAATATTCTCTCAAATTGTTCTCTAATTACTGAGGATGGTGATCGCTGTCTTGATCTTGGCAGTGTTTAATATTTGTTTTCATTAGTCTCTGGCAATGGTTGTTTTCAGTGAGAAATTTGCTTGAGGACGTTGCTGCTATCACTCAGACCATTTAGTTGGCGAATGACTCCTGGCTCTTTTGCCCTCTATTCCACCAAACACTTAATGCTATTCTGTAAGAACAAACTCACTTTTCACCTCGGAATCCGCGGTGTAACTTTAAATGAGAATAAGAATTTCAAATAACACCTACGGATTCCGCGGTGAGTTCGTTCTACGGAATAACACCACAGTTTTTAAGAGTTTCGCATTCTCTCTTCTCAAGTATGAAAGTACGCGAACCCATAAAAACAAATTCTCATAAATAAAACTTTGTTGATAGTGTAATCACAGCCTAGTATTAAAACTAAAATCGAAACGTTTATAACATTGCACCCACAATAATTGCTCAAATAAAAATATTTAAAAGTTTTTCGTAGAATCCAAATTCTATTAAATAGGCAACAAAATGATATAAAAGCCCAATATTGTTCTGCGAAATGTTGTACGTGAATGAGATTAATAGATTTAGGTTTACATAACTATCTTTCTAATCTTTCAGCACAAACTGTATTATTTGTTCCAGATATTGTCACCGACTCTAGTTGCGTTGCGTGTCACAAGTTGAATCGGTGAGTAGAAGAAAATGTATATAAATACGAGTTGATTCATGTATAGTTTACACCAATGTAGAGAATTAATACACTCCAACCTTCAGCTACCAATATCCTAATTATATTTTTATAAATGCGAAAGTGTTTGTTTGTTACGATTTCACGCCTAATCCACTGAACGGATTTGGATGAAATTTGGTACGCGTATAGTTTATGACCTGGATCAAGAAATTGGATACTTTTTATTCCGTTAAAGTGTTAGGTTTCTGGGGGATTTGCAAAAAACTCAAGTTACCAGGGGCGAAGTCGCGGGCAGCCGCTAGTTTAAAAAAATAGGAAAATGCTTCCAGGGGAGGAAGGGGGAATTTTAAGGGACGTAATGTGAACCTGTTACAAAAAAGTAATATACCCTTGGAAAAATCTAAGTAAACCAAGTGAAAATAAAAATAACTTATCAAAGTAAGCTTTATCTGAAAAAAAATATACAATAAACAACTCAGTACTCGCAGCATACTCGTGCTCCTAACGAGGCATGAGTAGATTATTTTATGTGTATTAATAACTAGCGGTTGCCCGCGACTTCGTCCACGTTAACTTTAGTTTATTGAGAATCTCTCAAGTAACCTCAAAATTTTCGGCATAAAAAGCAGGTAATAAACTTTAAATGTGCCAAATTCTATCTAAATCCGTTCAGCCGTTTTTCCGTGATTGAGTACCAGACATACAAACTTACAAACTTTCACATTGAATATATCTTATATTAGCAGGATATGTAATGTGCAAGCGCACCGATAATAAATTTTTCCCAATCCGTTCCGCCTTAGGGCCGACCGGTAATGATTTCAACGCGCCATCAGGCACGTCACGACACTGCCCTCTGCTCGCCCAATGCTCGCAGTTATCCAATAATTATTGCGTCGGTCAGTTCTGATGCAAATTACGGCAGTGACACTTGCGCAAGCGCACAGCGGCGCGCACTACTGTTGCTCAGCCGATCTAGACCGCGTACTTGGGAGCTATTTTCAAACTTAACATCCTCGGTTACAACGCTTCTTCGTCTTTGAATTACACTTTTGACAACGATTATATTGGTAGGTTACATAATAGATGCGAGGGGTTGAGGGATGTCGTTTTTCCTGCCTAAATCGGAGTGCCTGATTGGGTAAGCAACCACCACCTTACAGAAGATATCTGGGTATTGCATGATTCTATAGGCTATGGTTGCCACTTACTATCAAATCAACCTATTTACGTACATGTGTTCATTTTTTATTATAACTAAAAACCACAAACTTTATATTTTTATCAATTGTAACAAAATTATGTTAAGTTCATCAACAAGAAAATATAATTAAGAAAATTTCAAGCTCCAGGACGAGTTAAATGTTACGTAACGTCAATTTACGTACACTGTCGTCGTTGAAGTAAACGTCGAGTTATATTTGAGAATAGTACAGCTCTACGTACTGGCAAATGGTCCAGTGATCACCGACAACGTCACCACGTGCCATCACGTAATGAAGCCGGTCGAAACTTTCCAAAAATAGTTTTTATTCGATGATCATCAAATCGCATTGTTATTTCAAGCGGATATCTGTTGAAAAACTTGCCAAATGCGTGTCAGACTTGCCGCACAAGGTGGATTGCTTACAATAATACCATATATTAGTCAGACGATAATGAATGACAATGTAAAAGGTTCAAGATTTATAATAGAGATATTGTTAGTTGAGCAAAAACTTATAATTATAAAGTTTATTGTATGGTGAAACCCTTTATTATTTTAATTTGTTTTTATTTTATCTGTTAGCTATAGTTAAAATAATACATATGCAATGAAATCTTACCTGTCTTCCTATGCTGCTTAAAGACAGACAACTGACTGACTTAGTAAAAGGATCCGTTATCAGCTTTTGTAAACTCCAAAAACTAAAAAAATATCTACGAGAAAACGGACACTTTTTTAGATTTACGATTAGCACATGAATATTAGCGGCTATCAAATTGTATTACTATACCAATTTATTCAAGTATCAACGATCAAGATGATGGATAGTAATAAGTATCATAACGTCTTTATGAGATTACATTCAGATTTAATAGATTATGGTCGGTGAATATTAACGTTCAATACAAGTACCTACTGCGTTCACGCTGCAGTAGTAAAGACATCAACGCGCGCCATTGTCATGCTCTTGCGCATTAGAGCGACCTGACCTGTGCGTCATGAATTCGCATATCAACTTCTTCGATCATTGAATCGGCTTACACAGGCTTAAATCTTAACCATTTTATAAATATTTACCATTCGGTGTTACAATTTCGTCATGTTTGTAGAATTACTGGAAAAATAATTTTTGAATTAAAGTACTACTAGAAATCTTTTTATGACTTTATTTTGTTTTTTCGCACTGAATCGTTTTAATCCCTGGTATTCTACTCGTGTGCTTACAATGGAATTTGGTACGGCGAGTTCCGAATCTGCAAACAATATACACAAAATGATTCCGATTTGTGTAAATAAAGTTAATCCGAACATTTTTCGATATACTGGTACTAATCAATATAGAAATGTGAATGTTAAAAATTGTAACTATGAAATTCGTTATTGATCTTTTGGGTTTAGGTATTAATGTCATAAAATAATTAGCATATTTTTCAAAAAAAATCAGAGAATATTATTTATATAATTCCGAATCAACTTCTGATTTCATTGAAAAATTAATGTATTACTGTCCAATCATTTACGTAATGAATAATCAAAGTTATACAACAACTTTCTTCAATCCCGTATCACTTTTTTCGACATTCAGTTTAGATTCGATTCCCAGTCTGCACAATAACGAATTTGAAACTTTTTAATTTCATTTGTCCCTATTGTCTTAGAATCATGTGAATTATTGTATTAGAGTCATGTGACTTCAGATAAAATTAATTTCTTCTGGCCATATGAAACTTATTTAACACCCTCTTTAAAAATATTTCTCTATATTTTGAATTTATTTTTCCTTCAGGTAAATATTAAACAGTAAAATGTTAGCAAATTTATTTACAATACCTAATGAATGACTTACGCTGAGGAGATTTACGATGTGTGGAGAAAATTAATGAGTCGGTAATTAAATTTTGTAATTACACATCATCTCCAATACATTGATCACATCTTGAACGTGCTTAAATGGGGTTAAGTAATTAGCTCATACAACATTAATGAGACCACTTAACGTCTTTTGCCTTTTCTTGTAAGATACTGTAAACATTTTAATTATTATTAATGAATAAAAATCCTGACACATTTATCTGTTAATTAATCTGAATTTATCTGTTATTTGACGACCTCCGTGGCCGAGTGGTTTGTACGCCGGGTTTCATAGCTGTCGCCGACTCGAGAGGTCCCGGGTTCGAATCCCGGTGGGGGCAGATGTTTGTGTGATGAATACGAGCATTTGTACTCCAGTCATGGATGTTTAATATGTATTTATATAAATATACTTATATATGTACAGTATATGTATTCTATCCGTCACCCTAGCATCCCATAACACAAGCCTTATAGCTTACTTTGGAGCTAGGCTAATAGGTTAATAACGTTTGATTTTATAGACTCAACAACTAATGTTATTTTAAAACCCTTCTGAAAGCAAACTCTCTTGGTTTCTGCTTTTGCATGGTAAGGATGGTAGAATATCATGAGTATTAAGGTGGTTGCATAATATGAATTCGTGCTGTGCACGTAGCATGCGCTGAACGCGCCGCATTTCCATGTAGACTTTACGAAGTGCGGCGCGTACGATGCTAAATGATGGAAGTATGCGAGGTTTCATATGATTGCATACAACGAATTCTAAATGCGGCGCGTGCGGCGTGTACAGTGCTGGCGTATGTGCGATCACCTTTAAAGTTTGTATGGAAAATGGATTACGAATACAATATTTTTATTAACGAAAGTCGATAAATCACTAAATAGCGCTGGGTACACAGCGTTATTAAGTAATTCAAAAAGTGTTTTATTAAATATCAAATAATTTAATATTTTCCAAACAACAAGTTCAAGTTTGCTACTCCGTTATCTACACCAATTTCTGAAACGCAAAGGTGTCTGTTTAAAAATAGAATTTATGTCTGCCAGCTGCTTAGAAAAAATTGGAAGCTGGCGCGTTGCATGCTTTTTCTTTCACTCCCAGTCTAGCTTGAGAATACAGATATCGTTCAAGTTATTTCAGTGGATTGATAAAAGGTTTTTATTTCGTCTATTACCATTTGAGGCGGATATTTAAATAGATTAGAATTTAGGCACCATTACCATTAAAATTGAAAGGTTGGTACATTTCAAATATTAATTCTAATACAAATCCGGAACCTTTTGTGAGCGGGCCCTACATGTACCAGAAACATTTTTAGGATATAAGATGCCCTCAGACATACAGTGCTTAAACATACGGAGCCTTAATGACTAAACAATGAAATAAAAACACAAACAGCATTCACCATCAGCGACGCACGAAAATATTATTAAACAAATAATCGATGAACCGTAAAACCGTTTCGAATAGACTAATTGACACTTTACTATGAATAATTAATATGCTCTATTAATTTCAACACGTCACGTTGTTTGAAGAGAGATAAATTTAATTGATCAGTCCACTTTTTAAACTGCCGTCTTATATTTTACTCTACGAGTTATAAATAACTCTTGTCTTGGCAATAGGGTTGCTCATCACAAAAAGTACCAAATAGTGATATTTTCTTAGATTCTTTTTTAACTGTTTTATAATAAAATCTCAGTTTTTTTTTTGATACAGTGTCTTGGCTCATACTTTCAAAATCAAGGTTAGTTTGTGGTTTCCAATAGGCTTACTTTCAACCAGCAAATACAAGCAACCGCAAAGCTATAATTATAAGATAGTTTTACTTTTTATTCAGCTAAGTAGGGTATTTTGCGTTTCTTAAAAACAACCATTACTTTAATTTGAATAATAATAATGACCACCTGATTCGAGATCGTTTATTTTAAA